TTAAAGTATGACTTATTTGTTTTATTGCTATTTACGGTGTCTATGACGACCTGCAACTTACACAGCTCATTGTGCAAAGCTGGACTTGTCTTGTCCCAGAACAAAGAAATTCTGCGGTAATAGGGGAGAAAGAAGAAACAAAATAAAGGTTTACAAAAAAAAAACGGAAAAATGTGTTGATCGTGTAATATTTTGTTTTATTGTTTTTTTAGAGGGCACGGTAACGAATCTTGCAATCTGATTGGTTCTTTACCCGGTCAGTATTTTCCTATCTCTGCCCACGGGCCACGGTAACGCTTTCGTGAGTCGCCGAGTACATCCCAACTTTCGTTGTCATTTTTCATAAATATACCTCGTTTTCCGGCTGGGCAGTATTTTTAAGCAAACACGTCGGTCACTACCTCAAGCCGATAAATAACTTATGAATCCTCCCTTTTCTCTCTATCAAATCACTTTGGTTGACAGAAAAATATTGGTTTCAGAATGAATTTGTATAAACAATAGTGTCATTACGTTGGTTGACAAGCGGCCTAAAAACCGTCTGCAATTAATTTTAATCGTTCACAAAAAGTACCCAGAAAGTTGAAACGTGAGGTATTTGGTTACAGTTAAACTGAACGATGGAACTTTCATTCATTGAATATCTGAATTTTCTCGAGCAATTTGTTCATAGTAAAAAAAAGCGAGCGAAGTTTTAATTTAAGTTCTACAACAAATATACGCTCCTGGTGAGTCTTTCCAATTCCGTTCAATTTGGACATTTGTACCTTAAATTGCACAACAGAAATTGAAGGAATTGAGAAAAGGCTGCATTAAATTCCCTTGTGTCTCGTTGGAGTGTGCCGTTCGAATTTAGTTTTTGTGAAGGAAAGATCAGAGTTAAACACGCCATTACAGCAAACAAACAAGCAAACTCCCACAACTTCAAAATAAAAAAATGAATTTACTCACAATTACTTTCCTCGCCGTTTACTTAATGAACAGAGGTAAATCTTCGCACATGAATGAATGGTCGATGAGAGTAAATAATACTTTCCGTTAGATCATTAACTGATTTTTAAGAAAACATTGTCGTGACAGTCCTTGCCAAACTAGTTCTGTTGGTTTTCAAATGTTCCTACGCTTTTTTTTTTTTTTTGCGCGCTCTCTAATTGACAGGTGTCAGATTGTGACAGATACTTGTAAAAATAATGTTTCAAAGTTTGTTTGGAAGCCTTTTAAATCACCTTTATCGTTACGGAAATGAAAATGTTTCGCTGAGGCATCTCTCTTAAATTTGCATCACCTCTATTTTAACTACCATTTACTCACTCAAAAACTGTTCAGTTTATGGAAGATCTTGCCGTATTTACGGCCATAAGTCATTCGGGTTCTTTCGGAAAGAATTTCGTCAAGTTTAAAAACAATAAATATGTTATTTACCGGCTAAGGGTTGGTCCGTATGGTGAAAAACTGTGAGCTCGGTCACAGTTTTTCACCATACGGACCTCCCAGCCGGCAAATAACATATATGTACTTGTAGTATCTTATACGTCAGTTATTACGTAAGAAATCATTGATGCCTCTTATTTCTTGCGGGAGGGGAGGAACGCTTTCTGCACAGACAAACCAGGCACATGTCGAGTGAAAATCTTACAAGACTATTTTATTTCTCATCATTTCAGTCAAAGAGTACAGCGCGCCTCGCCCGTCAGTGTTATCTGTCTGATTGAATGTGTGATTTACTCAGTGAAACACAAATTTGTAAAAGTTAAACTGTATTGAAAATTCAGGTCTTTTTGAACTAATAATGCATTTGATGAAAAATATATTTAAGATAAACATGAATATAAAATGACTAGAATGGGAGTCATTCACCATATTTATGTACTAATCCGTTTGAATATAAAATGCCCGTATCTGAGATTTCTTTGATGATCCACAGAATTAGAACAGCTGGCAATAACGAATTCCTCCCTTAAACCGTGGGTGAACCAACAAATAGAAGACCTAGCCCGTTAAAAGGCCGCTGTGAGGAGAAACTACTGATTTTAAAAATCAGAGTTCATGCACCAACTCAATGCGATGACCACTAAAAAGCAAGCTGAATGGACGACAGCGATACTATATATGTAAGCAGACCAATATCATGTCTCAGTATGCTTAACATAGCTCCTAGGAGCATATAACTTCCTGGCATGACTTTTGTAACTCAATAAACTTGCAACTAAAGGTAAAAGGTTTAACGTCAATATCAATCTATGAATGGCTTAATCAGTTTGGGTTCAACTCTGAAATCAGATTAATCATCAAGACTAAAATGTTTCTGCTTGTGGTGGGAAACTTTTTATTCCAATTGTTGCTAGTGCGCTCTGATGAAATTTTGAAAGCAGCCTAACTAAAACAGACATTCACATCCATTTTCATCTACCCGTCGATAGAGCGATTCAATTCGGAAAAGTCGGACCAATTTCTGATTTGTTCTGATTTACTTGTTGGCACTTACCAACAACTACAACTGGTAGCAAGGAGACGGATATCTTACACCCTATCCCTAAAAAAAAGTCGAGACGTTTCTCTTTTTTTATCTTTTGCAAAAATCTAACAGCTAAAAATATTACCTTATAATTTCATTTTGCTTAAGTGGCGCAATTTCACTCCATCAGCCAAAAAGTCAGTTTCTCAACCCAACTAAAGAAAGTTCGCTTTGTTGGTATGCGCGAGTAAATTCAGTCGTAATCAGATTTGAAAAGTTTTCGATTAGCGACCGTTACAATCCATCAAATATTCTTGCTCGCGCGCACATCTCGTGATCGAATATGCCCCGCTAAAACTGGAAATATCCGAGGATATGCTCTGAGTGACATTCGCCAATTTTCAAAGGTATAACTACCACGATAAAAGAGTTCGTTGAAAATTTTATTACAGACGAAAGAGCACTCAGCTATTATTAAAAATGAAGGGACAAATTTGTTTGTTCATACCGCGGTACCAGAGAACACAGGCAACTGTTCGTATTTCGGAACGGCTAATGCCCTTGGACAAGTATCCGTGCATATTTTCGCGCCTAATGGTGGCTATTGTTCATTTAATTCCCGAGCAAAACCACGCTTGCGATTGTGGATTCAGTTTCGGGCTAAACCAGCTGAACTATCGCTTCTTGGCTCAAGATAACAATCTGCATGGAACGAAATACATCTGCAGTGGTTTTGAGTGAATGAGTTGTTTGTTGAGAAGAAAGCTGAATTTCATGTTTCCAACCATTCGCTTCCTTTTAAAAGCGTTAGATATCCGGAGAGAAAAAGTCGATGAGATCGGGAAACAATGAAGTGGGCAACTCTGAGTGAAGTAAATTAAATTCTTGCGCGCCAAATTCTTGGCTGCGATCCAGGCTTCTCGCATATCTTTACTAAGTAATAGTATTGTTTTGTTACGACATCGTGACGATACAATTGTTTACTGCGCGTAACCATAACAACTTCTCAGACAGAAATCATTTGTAATTTCGAGTGAAACGTGTATATCTTGGAGGGGAAAACATGAGCACTTCGTGGATAAACTACGTGTATAAAAAGTTCACTGGGGAAGAAGACAATCAACGCGCAACCAGCTCATTGGATGTCCTTTCTAAAGCCAATATTTGGTTTTCAGATCTTCCAACAAATAACTTAGGTCCGATTGAGGAATCATTCGGGGCGCGCAAGATGACTAAAAAGGTAGGTGCCTAACTTACATTTCTCTTCTTTTAATACATTATTTGAAGACTGTTTAGAGTTGAGGAGACTGATGGGACAATATGCCATTCAGTATTTAAGTTTAGGACTTTGCCTTTTTCTTTCTTTCTTACTTTTGTACTCAATTTTGAGATGAATCAAGCGCGCGGAAATGCTCTTCAACTACGACGCACCGATTTCGTTTTCTTTTGAACAACATTATTGAAGGAAAAAGTGAAAAAAAATTCCCCCATCTATAACAAGTAAACAAAACAGGCTCTAAAGGTTAGTTTGGTGATGATTTTGTTATGAAGAGTATTTAACCATTTAAGAAATCAGACTAAATTATAGCTGATTTTGCAACACACCCGATCTTTGTTGTTTGAAAACTCAAATTTCATTTATTTTGTGTTATGCACCTTTGCAGAGTTCTCATGGTCGGCGTGCTTTAAAACGTCCTGGCTCGATATGTTATGTTATAATATTATATCTTACAATGTTTTGTATATAAAATGTCAAATGTACTCGCTGAAAATGACTCGCTTATTAAATATAGGGCTAAACTTCAGAATACCCCGCAACTGAAATGAACTTTCAAATCCTGCTACCGCAGTCCCGCAGTCGACATAATTTACATACTATATATATATAAACCTCACGAAATATACCCCTTTTTGCTTTGTTTACCTTGTTGGTACCTTGTTCTATTATCCATGAGCCGCAACGCAAAGCGTGCTACACATGAATATTCCTCGTTCTTTTATCCATGTGCTGAAACAAGCAAGTTAAACATGTATATACCTTGTTCTATTATCCATGAACCGCAACGCAAAGCGTGCTACACATGAATATTCCTCGTTCTTTTATCCATGTGCCGAAACAAGCAAGTTAAACATGTATATACCTTGTTCTATTATCCATGAGCCGAAACAAGCATCTGCATATTTCTCGTTTTACGCAATACCAATTTTTCAAACGCTTTGAAAAATAATATATTACAACTTTTTTGCCTTATTAACATCATAAATTTCACAACAACAAATTTATACAACTTCTTGGCCTTATTTACATCATCTAATTTAACTTCAACCACAATTTATAACAGAAACCGGTGCAAGAATAATAACGAAGCTCATCGAGGCACGATTAACGCTTCAAAACTTTGTCGAAAATTGTCTATTACGCTTTAAGGAGGTAATGTTCTACACTTTTTCGAATATTGTCTAATACACTTAAAAGAATTAATGTTCTCTTGTATTGATGGCATACACTTTCTTTACATCGTTCAAAAAAACCCTAAACAAATCTTCATCGCGATGCATGTATCGCCAAATGAATTCCGCCAAATACGTGGAGAAAAGGTGCTTTCGAACACCAAACTTCATAGCCATGCTCCTCGAGTTTGGAGTACGCTTTCCAGCAGTCCGACACTATAATTGTTCCCGGTTCAATCCAGTCTTGAATAATGGGCAACAGTGTGTCTTCGTCTCGCTTCTCGACTGCCACCAGAAAACATTTCCTGCTTTCCTCCTCTATACCTCCAAACACCCACTGCCCTTCAACGTGATGTCCTCTGTGGTACTTTCTTTTGCCAAATTTACTTTCGTCTATCTGAACAACCTTTCCTTTTCCGCCTAGTTTTTCGCTATTTTCAAGAAGTGTTATTTCGCATACTTCGCGACAGAAACTGTCCCAGTCCACCCCCGTGCTTTCTCCAAGTCCAAGTTCATGTTTAATTTGTCTCTGATCGAGATCCTGGCACCACCAATAAGTCAACTTCAGAATTTCTTCTAACGTCATCCTGCTCTTTTCGAACCAGCTATCTTTCCGTATCGACAACTCTGCCCTGTGTTTCTTAAAGTTAACTTGTTTTCTGCATTCCCACTTGAAACCATCCGATCGATCCTCGCACCTACTCAAACTCATTTCTCCAGCGCAAATCGGGCACAAACGTTACTTCGACAAAAGTCCTTCCTCCATTAGCCAATACACAAACAGTTCTTTATCTTGCATACGCGCTACCAGGTCGTCATAACACCATTTTTGGTGTTCGCGGTTGCGTCCATAGCTGCAACTTAACGCCGTTCCACATTGCGTCCCTCGATCCTCTGTCTTTATTTGTGATGTTGTCTCGGTTTCACCACCAGCACTGGTTTCTCTACGTTTTGATCCAATTGCAACTTGAACCCCTTTATCGTTCATGACTGCGCAAAAAACTTAACCCTACTCTTAACGCCCTTTTTCACTTTAACACATAACATCGCTCAAAATAATGCCATGTCAGCTTAAAAGAGCTCATACATTGAAAATGCGAAAACGCTTTCAATTAACAATAAAAAACTTAGCCGCCCTTTCAATTTACTCTCACAGAAAAAATCCCGCCCTGCACAACAAATCAAAACACGAATTTTTTGCCATCATTGAAATCGGCACGCTTCTTTTACGATTATTTCAATAGCCTTAACATGACAATTTCAATCATTTGTATCACACTTTCCCTGTAACGTTGACATCAATAGTGCTGTCAATTACCCTGTTACTGGAACACAATAACCTGTTTCTAAACAATTGATTTCGCAAACAAAGAAGCCCAGATTTGCAGTACCGCCTTTCCCACAATTGCTCAAATTTTGAATACAAATGAATGCGTACGCACCGCCATTGATTGGTTGAATCTACAATTTCATGCCGCACCGCCATTGATTGGTTGAATCTGTATTTCCACCAACACTACTCCCTAAGGACTATTCCCTGCTCATTTCAGTTTACTTTCAGTCGATACTTACCAGTCTAACAGTGAGCATCAAAATGTATGCAGTAACAAAACTCAACAAACAACACGAACAAACGTGGATCAACCTTCAAAAACGACTCAACACTGTGCAGTTTCAGTATCAGAAGCTATTTCACGACTCAGACGTGTACGATTTTGTTAAGAATAAGGCAATCTCGGTTGGAAGCTGCGAAGGATACTTTGTACCATCGTTGTTAACTACAACGAGCTTCATACTTGCCTGCAACAACGCAAAGGTCAATGTAACAACTCACAAGCAGCCACTTAATATATATACTATATTTGTTGGATATCCTGGGACGGGTAAGTTCAACCAAAATCAATTTTAAATATCTTTTTACTTCTCCTTGTACCTCGCATACGGCGCGCCAGTGCTTCCCGCACTTACACTCACTCACAGACAAAAGCAAACAACCTTCAATTAAATACGCTGCAATTCGGATTTTAATATCTTAATCTTCTCTCATACAGGTAAGTCTTCTGCAATCCAATATGCTGCCCAGGATCCACTGGAGCAACTAGACCTCACAAACGCCATTATCAGCAAGACGACCTCGTCCGGACTGGTCAAACTGCTGGCGAACAAGAAAAAGGCCATGATTCTCTCACTGGAGGTGTTTGACATCTTGCACAAGCTACTTAAATCCGATGAGGAGACCGCATCTGGCGACGTGCAGCTACTCTGCAAACTGTTCTCTGGGGAACACTGCAGCTACCACTACTCTACCGAAGAAAGCAGGGTGATCCCTTCGAATACGCCTTTCTGCCTCCTTGGATCCACGCAACTGGTGAACGCGGCCAAATTGATCGCTCGCATGGACCAAGGACACGGCCTGGTCGACAGAATTCTTCTTGCAACCCCACTTGCCCTTCGCCCGACCCTTACCCAAATGGAGAACGCCACCGATCAGCTATCAACCGAAGTAGTGTCTGACTACACTGAACTGTTCAAAAACATTAATGGAGTGGACGAGAACGTTGAATTCGTCTTTGATGATGAAGGCAAAGAACTTC